TCAGCCCTCTGACTGATACTTTTATTAACTCCATACCTTTTCCTAATTTCAACACACCGAATTCTCTGCATAATATTTACACCACACATTGCCCTTAGACAGGACATCTCCACCGCCTCCTCGCTGCCGCATTTACAACCCAAGTTTCACACCCATATAAGAGTGTTGGTACCACTATACTTTCATACATTCCCTTCTTTACCTCCATAGATAATGTTTTTTTGTCTTCACATATACCTCAGTGCAACACTCGCCTTTTTTTCCTTCATCAGTTCTATGGTTAACCTCATCCTTCATACATCCATCCGCTGGATGGATATCCAATTTTTCTTTATCTAAATCACTTGATACCCTCATCACCTTACCCTAACAGCAAGCTGTTAATGAAATTGCAGATACGTAGTTTTTCCTCAAGATTCTTAGTAGAACATGGTATTCTAATACTATTTAGTAAATTTATTCCCCTATAATTTTTACGAAGTATACCAGGAAAAGTGTGCGGTAGGGTTATTATTGAGAGAATTAGAGGTGACCTAGGTAGTAGGTTGGTAGACAGCAACCGCCCAGGGAGGTACAGTGGACCCCCGCATAACGATGGCATCACATAGCGATTTTTCCGCATACCGCTTACTTTTATCGCAAAATTTTTGCCGCGCATACCGATTAAAAACCCGCTCACCGATTTTCGTCCGAGACGCGTCCAATGTGCCCTCAGCCAGCCTCACATGTGCCGCCCGTCCCATTGTTTACCAGCCAGCCTCCGTGGTAACATCCAAGCATACACTCGGAATATTTCGTATTATTACAGTGTTTTCGGTGCTGTTTCTGGAAAATAAGTGACCATGGGCCCCAAGAAAGCTTCTAGTGCCAACCCTGTGGTAAAAAGGGTGAGAATTAGTATGGAAATTAAGAAAGATTTTGAAGGGTTTGGGGCTAACCCTGAGAAGCCTATGCCAGTTGTGGAATCCATTGTGCCTACTTCAAAGATTAAGGAAATGTGTGCACAGTGGGTTGAACTGCAAACCTTTATGGATGAAAATCACCCTGACACAGCTGTTGCAAGCCGTGCTGGTGACTATTTCAATGACAATGTTGTGGCCCATTTTAGACAAATCGTAAAGGAACGGGAGGTACAGAGCTCTATGGACAGATTTGTTGTGCGACAGAGGTCCAGTGACTCTCAAGCTGGTCCTAGTGGCATTAAAAGAAGAAGGGAAGTAACCCCGGAAAAGGACTTGCTACCTCAAGTCGTAATGGAAGGGGATTCCCCTTCTAAACAGTAAGAAGATAATGCTCTCCCCTCCTCCCATCCCATCAATCATCACCAGATCTTCAATAAAAGTAAGTGTCATGTAAGTGTGCATGCCTTTTTCAGTTTGTGTGTATTAAAATTAATATTTCATGTGGTAAAAAATTTTTTTTTTCATACTTTTGGGTGTCTTGCACGGATTAATTTTATTTCCATTATTTCTTATGGGGAAAATTCATTCACATAACGATTATTTCGCATAACAATTACCCCTCTTGCACGGATTAAAATCGTTAACCGGGGGTCCACTGTACTACTGTCCTGACAAGTGAGTGTAAAACGGAAACCTGTAATTGTTTTACATGATGGTAGGATTGCTGGTGTCTTTTTTCTGTCTCATAAACATGCAAGATTTCAGGTACGTCTTGTTACTTCTGCTTACACTTAGGTCACACTACACATGTACAAGCATGTATATACACACCCATCTGGGTTTTCTTCTACATGTATATTATTTATAGTTCTTGTTTATTTCCTCTTATCTCCATGGGGAAGTGGAACAGAATTCTTCCTCCGTAAGCCATGCGTGTTGTAAGAGGCGACTAAAATGCCGGGAGCAAGGGGCTAGTAACCCCTCCTCCTGTACAAATTACTAAATTTAAAAGGAGTAACTTTTGTTTTTCTTTTTGGGCCACCCTGCCTCGGTGGGATACGGCTGGTTTGTTGAAAAAAAAAAAATTAGAGGTGAGACAGAGAGTAGGATTGCACATGAGCAAGGAGGCTTTAGAGTGGGTAGGGGATGTGTAGATCAAGTGTTTACATTGAAGCATATATATGAACAGTATTTAGATAAAGGTAAGGAAGTTTTCATTGCATTTATGGATTTAGAAAAGGCATATGACAGAATGGATAGGGGAGCAATGTGGCAGATGTTGCAAGTGTATGGAATAGGTAGTAAGTTACTAAATGCTGTAAAGTTTTTTATAAGGATAGTGAGACTCAGGTTAGGGTGTGTAGGAGAGAAAGATTATTTCCCGGTAAAAGTAGGTCTTAGACAGGGATGTGTAATGTCACCATGGTTGTTTAATATATTTATAGATGGGGTTGTGAAGGAGGTAAATGCTTGGGTGTTGGGGAGACGGGTGGGATTAAATTTTGAGGAATCAAGTACAAAATGGGAGTTGACACAATTACTTTTTGCTGATGATACTATGCTTATGGGAGATTCTAAAGAAAAGTTGCAAAGGCTAGTGGATGAGTTTGGGAGGGTGTGCAAAGGTAGAAAGTTGAAAGTGAACATAGCTAAGAGTAAGGTGATGTGGGTATGAAATGATTTAGATTAAAATTGGAGATCACACTAGAAAGAGGGAGTATGGAAGAAGTGAATGTTTTCAGATATTTGGGAATTGACGTGTCAATGGATGGGTTTATGAAGGATGAGGTTAACCATAGAATTAATGAAGGAAAAAAGGTGAGTGGTGCATTGAGGTATATGTAGAGACAAAAGAAGCATGCATGAACGTGTTAGGAGTGGAGACGAATGGTTTTTGGGACCTGACAAGCTGTTGGAATGTGAGCAGGGTAATATTGAGTGAAGGTATTCAGGGAAACCGGTTATTTTTATGTAGATGGACTTTAGTACTGGAAATGGGAAGTACAATGCCTGCACTTTAAAGGAGGGGTTTGGGATATTGGCAGTTTGGAGGGATATGTTATATATCTTTATTTATGCTTCTAAACTATTGCATTTGGGTGCCTCTGCAAAGACAGTGATTATGTATGAGTGAGGTGAAAGTGTTGAATATAGGAAAGAGTAAGGTGATGAGGATAAGAAAAAGATTAGGTGACGAAAGACTGGATATCAGATTGGAAGGAGAGAGTATGGAGGAGGTGATTGTATTCAGATATTTAGGAGTGGATGTGTCAGCAGATGGGTCTATGAAGGATGAGGTGAATCACAGAATTGATGAGGGGAAAAGGGTGAGTGGTGCACTTAGGAGTCTGTGGAGACAAAGAACTTTGTCCGTGAAAGCAAAGAGGGGAATGTATGAGAGTATAGTTGTACCAACTATAAATCTGTAGTGGATGGAAGGCGGGGTAGGGATCGGCCTAGGAAGGGTTGGAGGGAGTGTGTAAAGGAGGTTTTGTGTGCGAGGGGCTTGACTTCCAGCAAGCGTGCATGAGCGTATTTGATAGGAGTGAATGGAGACAAATGGTTTTTAATACTTGATGTGCTTTTCGAGTGTGAGCAAAGTAACATTCATGAAGGGATTCAGGGAAACCAGCAGGCCGGACTTGAGTCATGGAGATGGGAAGTACAGTGTCTACACTCTGAAGGAGGGGTGTTAATGTTGCAGTTTTTTAACTGTAGTGTAAAGCACCCCTCTGGCACGACAGTGATGGAGTGAATAATGATGAAAGTTTTTCTTTTTCGGGCCACCCTGCCTTGGTGGGAATCAGCCGATGTGTTAATAAAAAAAAAATGTTTTTGGGGATTTTCTTTCTTTTTGCATCACCCTGCCTCAGTGGGAGATGGCCAACTTGTTGAAAAAAAAAAAAGAAGGTACAGTACAATACTATAGTTAACCCTTTCAGGGTCCGTCCTGTAGATCTACGGCTTTACATTCAGGGTCCAAACCGTAGATCTACGCCATGAGCTCAGCTCACTCTGATAAACTGTGAGTGGTACATTTGGGCCTAGATATGAGAGAATACATCTATGTGGTATGTGTGCACCACATAAAACAGATCCTGCAGCACACTGTGTATAATGAGAGAAAAAAAATGAAATCATGATTTTTCGATTAAAACAGCAAATTTGCAGTGTTTTTTCGTATATTTTTTATAGTTGTATTTGCGATTTCTTGGTCTCATTTGATAGAATGGAAGACATATTACAGAAATAGAGATGATTTTGATTGGTTTTAGCATTGGAAATGGCTTGAAACTGAGCTCAAAGTAGCGGAAATGTTAAATTTTTGCCGATATTCAAGAGTAAACAAACGACCTCACACGTCTAATACACGTCAGCTGGTGGGTCTAATATACATTCACAAATGTGGTGATGATATTTATACAATTATTACAGTATTGCATAACAGTAAATCTTCTATTTTTTGGTGTGAATAAAAATTCATTATGTGAATAAAAAATCAAAATGGAATTTATTTGTAAAGCCTACAAAACATAACTAATGAACAGAGGAAAATGTTAGTTTAGTGCCAGGAATGCCTACATTGTTCATTCTGGACCCTATTTTGAAATTGGAATATTTGAACTTTGTGTTAAATTGGCCAAATTAACAATTTCCGATCACTTTATTTTGTAGTTGAAACAGTTGACTTGGCGATTTCTTGTGTTCAATCGATAGAATAGAAGTAATACTAGTGAAATAGCTAAGAATTTGGTTGATTGGAATAATGTAATTGGCCTAAAATGGGAGTCAAAGTCGGCAAAATCGCCGATTCGTAAATATCGCTGACACATCAAAATTCGCGAGAGCATAATTTCGTCAATTTTCCACCAAATTTCGTACTTTTTGTTTTATTACCTTCACAAAAAGATTCTCTACGATTTCATAAGAAAAAATAACAAAATTTTTTTTTGAAAATTCTTGGACACTGGTGCGTGACTCCAGATTTGGGCCTTGGACCCTGAAAGGGTTAAACACAAAGTGACAAAAAATTTATTGACATTATATTGCAGTTATAATTAACAACTATACAGGAGATTCCCATTCCCCCACTTTTAGGTTTGTGTGCAATGAATGCGGGAGAGGATTCAAATGGCGTCATGCCCTCCAGGCTCACTCGTACACACACAGCCCCACTAGTCGCCTGCTGTGTGACATTTGTGGTTTTTCCTCCAAGTATGTGAGTAGCTTCAAAGCTCATTTAGTGCAACACTCTGGGAGAGCATTTCCTTGTCCTCACCCAGGATGTGCCTTCACCTCCAGCCGCAAGACTCACCTCAATGATCATCTTGCTACACACTCTAAGGTTTGTCTTTACTCTATATTTTCTTAAACATTAACTGATATTAATAAGCAATCCTATACTGTGCAATTTTTAAAAGTTTAATGTGAAACATAATTTGAATTAGCATTGTTACTTTTAAATAGCTGAAAATTGGTTCCACACTATGATTCTTTACTTGGCAGTATGAGAAAAACATGATAAGCATTGTATTTATTATTATTCTTTATTGGAAAATTATTATTATAATCAAGGGGAAGCACTAAACCTGTAGGATTATACAGCACCTGTGGGGAGGGGGATGGAAGATATTCAGGCTCAATTCAGGGAACTGGAGCACAGGTCCAATTCCCTAGATCAAGAGCCCCTCACCAGCATCAAGGAACCTCCCATTAGGGGTTTATTGGATAAGAATAGCTATAGGTTCATGTAGAGGATGGCCAAACTGAGGTAAATGACAGCTTAAAAGAATATATGTTTGAAGAGTATCACGAAATGTGGGGGCAGGAAAATGTCTGTATAGAACAGTCGTGAAATTATTTATACTAAATTGGCAATTTATATCTCATATTTAATTTTCTACTTCAGACTAAGGTGCATCAGTGTGAAGTATGTGGCCACTCTTTCTCCCATGCGAAGAATATGCGGCGTCATATGCGACTTCATGCACCTGCCTCCAACTTACTTACATGCACAATAGTGTCAAAATTGCAGTGCAACTTTAGAACTACACGCCCTGACAAGTTAAGGGACCACCTTGCCAAAAAACACAACCTTAGTCGCCATACTGTTTCTTCAAATCCTCTTTCTAAACTATTATGCACATCAACATCTGCAGTAAATAGTGATGGTAGTATAGTTCAGAAGCCATCTTTAGATACATTGTCAGGACTTGATAGCATAAAAAAGTCCACAAATGGATCAGATTTTACATCCATGGTGCAGGAATCAAATATGCCAAATTTAAATAAATTAGACCAAGAAACAGGAAAATCTAATATAATATCTAATGCTACTATAGAAAGCGAAGTCGATTATCAGACTACCAGTCAGGTTGGTGACTCTCACCTTAGTGGTCATACAGGTATATCTAATGAACAAGAAACGTTTTCAGTTCTTGTTACTTCACCAGATATTGTAGAGCTACAGGATATCCCAACCTTAGAGAGTCATACACAGCAGTCAGTGAAGCATCAAGCTGTTAATGAAATTGCAGATAGTTTTCCCTCAAGATTCTTAGTAGAACATGGTATTCTATTAGGCAAATCAGATTCCTCAGATATGAGTGGGCCACAGCAGTTAGAAACGGGAAATAGAATGACTTCTCTTCAGAATAATCTTATTACTCCAGATCATAAATTAAGATTGTCAGTTAGTAATTCAGTTCAGGATCAAGGGGATCTGGATTTAGTCACCAGTAACCATGTTGAGTCAATGGCCTACTCTGATAATTGTACTTTTTCAAGGTCTGAAGATAGTGTTGTATTGGAGGTTATGGCCCCTTCTGCAGATATAGCTACTACTACAAGCCAGAGGTCAAGTTTGAGTTTAATGGATCAACATGCTTTACAAAAAAAGAATGATAAACAAGAGCATTGTATGGAATCCCTAAACATTTTGGAATTTATGTTAGATAATGTAACAGACTAAGCTACTTTATTTTCCCATTTTATCTATGATATTTCTTGATATTGTATTAAATTCTAATGACTGAAATTTTATTACCTAGAGTTAGCAAAACTGTATTTTTTTTCTTAATATTGGTTCTGGGAATGTGTACAAGTAGCTAATACTTGGCAAGTTTTCTGGTATCAGTGTAAATTTTTTTTAGACTACTGAGTGTATATTAAACTAATATGCAGCTCTTAACACTCACTCTCAAAGTTAAAAACTATGAGCACTGCCTATATTACCTTCATCAAGTGCCATTACTAATACAGTGGAACCCTGGTTGTCGCACGCGCTAGTTATCGGACAATTCGGTTTTAGAATCGTTTTTTGTACAAAATTTTCCTCCAGATATCGGACCTTGATCCGGAAATCATTCATATCAGACACGTCTGCCTGGGCCATTCATACATTCGTGACTCACTCTTGGGCACATTAAATATCTTGTTTTATGTTAATATAGACATTTTCATTAATCCATCTGTGATATTTTCTTCAAAATTATATAAATACATTACATAACATAGTATAAACATGCAATGTTTATATGCTATGTGTTTTTTTTTTTTTAACAAGTTGGCCGTCTCCCAACGAGGCAGGGTGACCCAAAAAGAAAGAAAATCCCCAAAAAGAAAATACTTTCATCATCATTCAACACTTTCACCTCACTCACACATAATCACTGTTTTTGCAGAGGTGCTCAGAACACAACCGTTTAGAAGCATATACGTATAACGATACACAACATATCCCTCTAAACTGCCAATATCCCAAACCCCTCCTTTAGAGCGCAGGCATTGTACTTCCCATTTCCAGGACTCAAGTCCGGCTATATAAACATAACTGGTTTCCCTAAATCCTTTCACTAAATATTACCCTGCTCACACTCCAACAGCTCATCAGGTCCCAAATACCATTCGTCTCCATTCACTCCTATCGAACACGCTCACGCACGCCTGCTGGAAGTCCAAGCCCCTCGCCCACAAAGCCTCCCTTATTCCTCCCTTCCAACCTTTTCGAGAACGACCTCTACCCCGCCTTCCTTCCCCTACAGATTTATACTCTCCATGTCATTCTACTTTGATCCATTCTCTCTAAATGACCAAACCACCTCAACAACCCCTCTTCAGCCCTCTGACTAATACTTTTATTAACTCCACACCTTCTCCTAATTTCCACACTCTGAATTTTCTGCATAATATTTACACCACACATTGCCCTTAGACAGGACATCTCCACTGCCTCCAACTGCCTCCTCGCTGCTGCATTTACAGCCCAAGCATTTAAATGTCTTATTTTATGTTAATATAGATCTTTCCATTAATCCATCTATGATATTTTCTTCAAAATATACAAGAAATATATTATATAGCTTAGTATAAACATGCAGTGTTTATATGCCATTGAAGGGTGATAGTGGAGGGAAAACATTATGTTTTCTCTTTTTCTCTCATCGAGCATTAGAGAAAACTTTATGAATCTGCGTCTGGCTTATCTTTACAATTCTTGGCATCAATTATTCATTACTTCTCCCCTTGTTTATGATGGCATCTATAGGTAGTTGTTAGAAACGAATAATCTCAGTGAACAAAGTATGTTGATGGTAATAATATGGCTCTGGGCCGTATTAAATATCGTGTAGCTATGTAGGTAGGTGTATGTATGTAGCCCAGGCTACCTACATCTACCAGCTACTTAGTAAGTTTATTCAGGTATACACACAAATACAGTTACATAGATTATCATCGCAGCATATGTGTAGAGAACCTAGGATAACCCAAAAAAAGTCAAGACACAGTGGCTTCCTACAAAACAGTACTCCTCACCTCTCGCCCTACATTAAGACTTCCAATATTTTAAGGTCAGTAATGAATGTTGAAGAGTTAGTGGATGACTACAGGGAAGAGCTAACTACTGAAGAGCTGCAACACTGTAGTTAATCTTTAAAAAAATTATTTTTTGTTAATATTTTTGGGCGGTTGAAACGGATTAATTGTATTTACATTATTTCTTATGAGAAATATTGATTCAGTTTTCACACATTTCAGGTTTAGAACGACCTTCTGGAACCGATTAAGTTTGAAAACCGGGGTTCCACTGTACAGACATTTCAAAATATTCAGGACTTAGTTGGACTGTTTATTCAGTGTGTCCACAGATTTTGTTTTACCAGTTGCACATTTTTTACAGCAAAATGGTAACATTTATAAAAACAGTTTTCAGCTCAAATATAATTTTCTCCATTATTATTATTATTATTATTATTATTATTTTTTTTTTTTTTTTTTTTTTTTTTTTTTTTCAACAAGTCGGCCGTCTCCCACCGAGGCAGGGTGACCCAAAAAAGAAAGAAAATCCCCAAAAAGAAAATACTTTCATCATCATTCAACACTTTCACCACACTCGCACATTATCACTGTTTTTGCAGAGGTGCTCAGAATACAACAGTCTAGAAGCATAAACATATAAAGATACACAACATATCCCTCCAAACTGCCAATATCCCAAACCCCTCCTTTAAAGTGCAGGCATTGTACTTCCCATTTCCAGGACTCAAGTCCGACTATATGAAAATAACCGGTTTCCCTGAATCCCTTCACTAAATATTACCCTGCTCACACTCCAACAGATTATTATTATTATTATTATTATTATTATTATTATTATTATTAAAGATTCGCCAGCATTCTCCCTCCAGTTAAGGTATTTATGAGCAGTGTAATCAGGCAAATTGAGTGCCTTGACTTGAGGACATGGGCCTTTTCTTCATTTTCTTGGATTAGACCCAGTTGCCCCTATTCTCCAGCTCTGTATGATACCCATGGGTTTATTGCTTCTCTGTAATAGAGGGTAATACAGGGTATCCATAAAAACACTCCTCTGCAAGTGGCCTGCGAGGTCACCAGACCTAACTGTTTGTGACTTCTTTCTTTGGGGGTACGTGAAGAGCACAGTTTACGGAGCGCCACTACCTGCAACCCTGGAGCTGAAAATTTAGATCACTGAAGCAGTTCACATGATAACACCAGATATGCTGCAGAGTGTCTGGACCGAACTGGACTATTGCATTGATGTTTGCCGAGCAAACAGAGGGGTGCACACTGAGTGCCTTTAATGCTACCCTATACCACATGAAACTGAATAAAATCCTGCATCTGAAGCTACTAACTGTGAAAGATTATTACAATAAGGTTACATGTTATATCAGTTTGAAATCAGGGCCTCTTCAAGGGGGGCTCCTTGGCGTGGTGAAGAGACTCTTGGTCTGAGGAATTAGACCTGTTGGTCTCCTTCCTCAGACTGAACCTAATTACCCCTCAATCCCCCCTTCCCCTATCCCATCCTCCCTTTTTCCTTTCCTCCTCCTCCTTCCCCCTGTCCCTCCCTTATTCCCTTCCTCTTTTTGGCCTTTGGGATTCTTCCCACAGGCCTACTGGTTCATAGGTAGGGGGAAGGGTAGCGGGGTCAATCCCATTCTGTTGAGGTTCTTAGCGGTGGTGTAGTTTGCTATGGAATCTGGATCGCCTGGGGATATCTCGTTCTGTCTCCGGTTTTCCGGGGGGTTGGCTTTGGGTGTCTTTCGGGCAACGGGTGTATCTCTGGAGGCCGCCTTTCAGATTCCGGGGGTGGTGGCCAAAGGAGGTGTGCTTTATGGCGGATATCCGGCCGCCCTCTCTTTTGTCCACCGAGTTAGATCGGCAGATGTGAGGTTGCTATCCTGGATTGCCGGTTTCCTGGCATGAGGGGCAGGGTATGGCACGGGTTCCATGCCGCATCTGCACTACTAGCGGTGTTGAGGTCCTCTTGGGCATGGAGGGTGATTTCCAGCCCTTTCATTCCTCCTAGGAACAATTCCTCCCCATTCCCCCTTTTTCTTTTTTGTTTTTATTTTATTTTCTTCTTTTTTTTTCTTAAAAACAAAAAGAAAGAAGCAACCTAACCATGGAAGCTCTAATCCATGAACCTGCTACCCCCAGGCCCCTCACTGATACCGCACCCTGTTCTGACCCTGCCTCATTTTTTGACCACTCTTTGGACACTCCTGATGCCCCTGTACCTCTTGCTGGTGCTGTTTCATCACCAGCTTCAGGTACCTGGATCTCGACTGACTCTTCCGATTTGTCTGACCTCCACCCTCCTTTGGCTATGCTTCCGGCCTCTCCCTCTACGGTGCAGCAGTTTTCAAATCGCCAGCCCGTCCCTCGTCAGACCAACTCTAGTCCCACTTCTAAACGCCAATGACAATCTCCTGATGATGTTACTTCATTACCTTCCCATTCTACTCGGAAAAGACCAACACATCATGCACTTCCTCTCCACACTCAGTTTCGGACCACACAGTGGACTAAATTCTTTACTTTAAGACCGACTTCTTCTATTGCCTATCTTTCCGACCATAGTATTGGCAAAGCACTCCTATGCCATGCTGGTAGAGATATTTCATGCTCTCAAGAGTGGTACATGCATCGCTACTGTCCAGAATGCTATCCAAGCTCATGATCTTTCTCTCCTTTCGCATATCGATACTACTCCTATCACTATTGAAAAACATCTTTCTCTCAATTCTTGTAGTGGTACTGTCATTCTGCCCCATACCATAGTCCAACAGAATTTCCAGACATGTGGCAATGACATTCTTGAACAGCTGGAACTCCAGGATCTCCCAATCCTCAAAGTAGACACTTATGTCCTTTCTGCCCGCGGGCAGAGACGATACCCTTGCAGTGTGGCTCGATTAACTTTCGACAGCCGTGAACTCCCATCCTCTGTTTATGTCGCGGGACATCGGTTACAAGTTCGAAAGGTGATCCCTACACCGCAACAGTGTAGAAATTGCTGGCGTTTTGGTCACCCAGCGAAATATTGCAGATCTATAGCTGAATGCCCAGTCTGTGGTGCCAACGACCATTCTAATACGTCTTGCAGTAGACCTCCCTCTTGCCTTAATTGTCATGAGGCTCACCCTTCGTACTCTCACTGTTGTCA